TCCTCTATAACGAAACACTTCCCTAGACAAATGCATCTATCTGTCACAGTCTCAGCCTAATACTTTATTCATTCATAATAATTCACTTTCACTCGCCCCGACCCATCCCGACCTACTTCGTCCCAACCCGTTCCACTCGCAAATTTGTAATAATCGTACTCAATACACTACAACTAAAACAATAACTATTTTACGTAGAACACTTGCCTGCATTCATACCTTTTTACGCCAATATCAAACACACACACACACACACACACACACACACACACTCACACACACACACACACAGACACACACACATTTATTACATATATATATATATATATATATATATATAAAATAAATGGTGTAACTAACACAACTTCGTTATATATCGTTAAATAACTCCTAAAAGAAGCGTTCTAGGGTATTAAAAACTAACATTTTGAGGCCTAAGATCTCAAAGAAACGCGTCTGACACCGTTATCTACAGGATGAGATCTTCTTGAACATTTTATTATATTTTTGCTGGTTTTCATTTTAATTTTAATTCAATTTCCATTCAAACTGCGATCCACACTAGCTTCTTTGTTGCTGACCGCTGCCGTGACCCGGGGTGGCGTCGAGCAGGACAGGACGAACTGGGGAACGTGGTAATGTGAACGAATGCTGAGCTGGGAGACGACAGCGAGGCGGCAATTGCTGCACATCAACCAGGTCGTAATAGCTCTGATAGAAGAGAAAGACGACAGCAAGGCGGCGCTATTGCACTAGATGGCGCTGTATAACAAAACTAGATATTCATGTCAAATGCAACGCATAACACACCGGCAGCATTTTTTGAATCTATATCATTGAATAACTCCTGCATGAAGCGTTCTAGGACATTAAAAACAAAAAGTTGATGCCAAGGGCCTAAAAAACTGTTTCTTACACCGTAATCTACAGTATGAGATTTTTTTGCACATTCTGTTACATTTTTGCTGGCGGGAGAGGGGGGAGGGGGAGACGAAGAGAGAGTGGGAGATGAAGAGAGAGGGGAGAGATGAAGAAGAGAATGGGAGATGAAAGGCAGAACAACGTCTACCGGGTTCCGCTAGTTTTATATATGAATAAGTATATATCTCTCTTGTAAATTTAAGACATTCACGTCTAGATGCAATTAAAATCTATTTTTCTAGTTTCATTTATAAATAGAGTGAAGAAAAAAATTCATAAATATAAACATATCGCATTAAAAAATTGACGGTACAATCAATAAATTCCTCATTTAATCTACAGATATACACAACCTGTGAATTGATGAACCCAATGGTAGACCTCAGTCGTCATCCTGTGGTGGCGCATAGCCAAACTATCGATGCACTCTGCAATCTGAAATACAATGCTAGGCGAAAAAAGTCCAGAAAAGTAATTACTTTTTCAATATTTTATGGTTTATGGCTGTAAATAATCGCCTATAACACTCTTCATCTTTAAAGGAAGCTAGTTCATAACTTTCATCGCTGTTCGTTCTGTACATTCAGATATTATCGCGTTGTAACGCAATGCCTTTTTGTCTTTATATAAGAGTCTAAATACAGATTATTATTGATGATAATGATATAGATAATAATAATATTAATTTCCTTTGTTCAATAAAAAAATCAAAAACGAATTAAAACAAAGTGAAAGCATACACGTCTAAATGGTTTGCATTTATACTACCGCGCGATACAAATGCAAACGAAGCTAAATGTTTATTGTAGCTCTTATGAGCGAGAATTTTGCATCGTCTCCCCGTGAGCAGAGATCATGCAAATGGCGCTCTCTGTAGAGCAAACCGGGGCGAGGGCAGCTCTGAACGCATGGGCAATTAGCCGCAAACGCTCACGTGTCGGGGAAGCAGGCGCGCCCTCCTCTCCCTGAGCCCCGCGCCAGGGTTCCATGTGGCCGACAGGAGCTCCATTGTGAGCTGCGCCTCGTGGGCGAATCGAAAGGTGGGAGGTCAGAAATTACAATGCGGCGCTGTCGGCTGGGGTCGGGTCGGGTCACCGAAGAGCGACGGGAGATTTCATCACGTACGGGAACGGGGGTGCAACTTTTTTAATCATTCCGGTGGGCAGTTCGACAACAAATACCTATTTAAAATATTAAACTAACGCGCTGTGTTTCTTGAATACGATTTTTACGTTTCGAATATTTGCTTTTGTAAGTCGATTTTAAGTTTCTTTCTGAGACACAATTTTCAGTTGAACCTCTTGATGTTTTTTAGCGCCAGGATACTTTTCGTAAAACATCGCTCATTTCGTACAAAATATTAAGTATCTCTCCATTGTATACGTATTCTACTCGCATACCCTTGAATTTCTAATATCAGAAACAACAGCTAGAAGAATGACAGTGCTTTTAATAATGATATAACTGTGTTGTAAATGTTTCCAAGGTAGTAATTTCACGAGAAACTTTTCGCTCTGTCATCCCCTCGTTGAATTGTTTTCGTTAGGATTTACTTTTATGAGTGTTTAGAGTAGTTCTAGTAATTATATGTATATATTTCTTTTCTATGAGTTGCAGAGATAACGTATATTATAATTCCAAAATTTTTAATAAACACCTTAGTGCAGAGAGTTCTGTTTTACTCTGATGGGATAGTTCTGTGATGGCATTAAGAAATATACTTGTGAAATATATGTGTCTCACCGACAATGTGCCACTCTCGTAACTTCTCATCCGTTCATCCATTTCAAAATGCAGTTTTCTCCCAACAATACTGAATTACGAAGCAAGTAATATGCCAAGAGATATACTTTGAAATATTTTTAGTTTCTGAAATATACAGTTATCTTTAATTTTTTCACCTGCAATGGATGCATTAGAGAAAGAGGAATACAACAAAATATATGATTTGTAATGATTTAAAATTTATTTTCAGAAACATTGCATTTTGCTTCGTGATGTCCATTACATGCAGAGGTTGGTGCGGATAATGCATTTCGTTTTAGCACCCCTTGCAGCGATCGTTTCGGGACAGATGGCCTTTGCTGCGCCGAGACCTTTAGACCGACTGAGGGGGGGGGGAGCGCCAGGATGGGAATAAGGCAAGAAATACTTTACTGTTAATCTAATACTCCCTTCTTACAAACAACATTCATGATCTCGTATACTAATTTCTATACGGGCAGAGAGGCGAGCCCGGAGAAAGCTCAGCCTATTAAAAGTAATGGTAATGGTAATCTTAAAACAGTGAAAACGCAATGAAACACTCAGCAGTTTGACATAATTTTCTTCTACTAACTTCAAAATAAACTGTGCACCTTTTCCTTTAGCTACTACATTTAAAACAAACAATTAAAGAAATAACATTTCAGGAAAACATAAGTCACAAGAATTATGTGCAAAACTGCTGCATGTCTGACATTCACACGTAAAACCGCAACTTGCAGAGCGAAGTAAAGGTGTTTAACCCCTGTTACTAACTAGCAGAGAAATAAACCTAATGTTGACGCTATTACAATATATTTTGTAATATCAATGCATATTTTTACATGCTCTCTACGTATTTTTTGTTTGTGCAGACAGTCAATTTTTGGGGACATTTGAAAATAGGGACCAGAGAGAAAATAGGGACCAGAGAGAAAATAGGGACTAGAGAGAAAATAGGGACTCTACTTCTAATAACCAACAAACACTTGAAAATTTGCGTACTATTTACGTATTAGTTTATACTATACTATTTGCTGGTGTAGTCTAATTAAAATCCGTGTGTCCTACTGGGTGAGAGTTGCATTTATGGATGTAACAGAATTATGAAAAAAATTGTCTACAGACGTGACTGAAAAGGCCGTCGAAATAAATGCAATGTTTTGCGCTTTGTACCACCTGTCACATGCCTTTCGGAGTCGTGGTCTCTCTCACATACGCACTCTCTCTCTGTAATACTAAGTTTTCACTTTCCCCCACAGAAACAATCTTAAGAAGCGAGTTCTGGATAATGCATAGGCAAATTGAATATGGCGTTTGTTTCTATGCTATTCCTGTCTGAACCATGGATTGCTGTAATTACGTCTCCATCGCCTCTTCTCAGTCTGAAGGTCTCGCCGCCGGGCAGGTCACCTGCCCCAAAGACGTTTGCTGCACAATAGTTGCTCAAAGGAGAAAAAAAATTCACACCACCTTCTGGGTATAATTTCAAGTCGCGTCTCAAAAATATTTGTTACTGGAAATGAATTTTACAACATTAACGAATGAACCATTATTGTGTTCCTCCTTTTCTGATCTATCCATTGCAGATGGAAAAGTAAAAAGCTCTATTTAAAAAATTAAAGATGTCTGAATTTTTTCAAAACTAAAAATGTTAGGGCAATATCTTAGTGACATATTACTTGCCCCATAGTTAGGTATTGTTGGCCAAAAATATTTGGTTTATTCGGTTAGCTTTGATTATATCTTAATATCGTTGGAAGAAAACTAGATTCGATGTCATGAGCTTTGTAGAAGTTATAGTAGGTGTCCAAAGTTGGTAGGACACCTGATGTAGCGTATACTTGCTCTTCATAAATGAAAAAAGTTTAGGATTTTATCATATGTTAGTATATTATGGTCTACACATTAAAGAAATTTCCCGGCCCAGAAAAATGTTTTTCCGGAAGACCGTGAGTGTAAAAGAGCTGTAATAGCAATTACACATTTACACAGGACGCCAATTTAAGAAAAAGAAAGAAACGATTGTCCCAATTAGAAATACTGGGACTTGAGTTTAATAAAATAAGTTTGAAAAGTACTAATATGGAATTTGATTACAAAATATTATACGTTATTTTTTTTAAATATCATAAGTTTCTTCTAAACCTCATAATCATTATGTCCATGAATATAGTGCAGTATGGAATGCAGAAAATTCTACAAATTAATTAAGTTTTATGTTTTTGTTTTGTGAAACTTGTTCAATTTTTTAAAGATGTACTTCATTGAGATGTTCGAATTTCAGATGTATTATCCCCTGCGCAAATGATTGTGAATTGAAACGCTTGTTTCAGGGATCGTCTCGCTCTCCGAAGACAGCAACCAGAGCCCATGTGGAAGAGTGCCCCTGGAAATGGAACCTGCCTACCAACGTTTGAAGTCATCTCAGGACGATCTAGAAGAAGGTGACTTTAGTGAGCAAATGAGCATTTAAGTTTTCCATCTAAAGCGTTTTGGGAATTCAGAAGTACTCCCCGAACATAAACAATTTTATTGTAATATTAGAAGCCCCAAAATGCTTAATTTAGTAAAAATTAATTGCAATGATGCAAAACACTTTTATTATTCCATTAGTGAAGCCAAAAAGTCTCCTTGTGAGGTATATTATATGTTTTTGAGTTGTCAAATTAGTTTATTAAATAAAAATAAGTAACAAATATTTAAAGTGTTTAATAAAAATAAAAAAAAATTAAAAATTGTTGGTATATTGGATATCAATGGACTGAAGAATTTTCATTAGTATTTACGGCAGCGCTTCTGCGCAGTGCTACAGTAACCCTCGTTAGTACGTACTAACCTCGTTAACACGTAACTTGCAGGAACACGAAGAAAATACGGGGGGGGGGGTGAAGGAAACGTAAAATGACGGACTTTTATTTATTTATCACGACATTCACTTAATGTGTAATTAAGAACATTTCTGAAAGCGTAACATAACTTTCTGTTCGTGATACTCGAAGAATGAAACGAAATCTTTTGCAAATGAAACTCTGTTTGTAGTGCCGGACGGCCCCATTGTATGTAGTATTGTTGTAGCATTCGCGCATACGATGCTTTGTCGAAGAAATGCAGTAGTGTAAGTTTTCTCGATAAAGTTATTGTAGAACTCTATCCAGGTCACCTGCGGGAGCAGGGATTTTCAATATCGTCGCGCGCAATAATTCTGGATAATTTCTGGGCGATGGATTCGGAGATGTGGGAGCCGCCACCGCCCGTCCAACGTGACGCGCCTGTCTCAATCTATTCTTTTGGTATTTCAGGCAAAGAACTGGTTTTGTCGGAATACCGGATAATTTATGCTAGATAATTAATGTTTGTTGTTGTTTTTTTCTTTTTTTTTTCCCTCATTTATTTCTGCTTGGCCCGATGGGACTCAGCTGTCGAGAACGCTACATTGAGAATTCATTGAATTATATTATTGTTCAGGATATTAAATTGACAGATAAATACATTGAGTACACGGACACGTTAAGTAGATTCAATGTGTTTGTGGAATGTCGCGGTAGTTTTCGCTTTAAATCTATTATCGTGAGAATTTGGTTTCCGATCTTGAAACGGCTGCGGGAATATGGAGGATTGTTGCATAGAAGCGAGAGGATTTTTTTGTTTCTAGTCACTGAAGATCGTTTTCTGCTTGTTCCATTTTCAGAATTTTCAGTACGATCTCGAAGCTAGCTCTCAGGATCACCAACCGTCCGGTCGGATCACAGCAAAAATCGCTATGCGAGTCAAGCCCGCGAAATGAACTAGAGGTGCTAGAATAATACATACTTCCTCACATTATTTCTAACTCCCTATACGAGAAAGTCAAAATTTTAAAAATCAAATTAGCTCCATTACAACATAACAAGAAACCTTTTTGTGGCGTAAAAGTAAAACAAACATTTTAGAGAAATCCACCGTGGTCAGTGAGGGTGGTGGTTTAAATGATTGATTGATTGATTGTTCGTAATTCCGGGCGTGGCAATTAATAGTCATTAGTCCCGTAAGTGTAGTGCATGTTTTGCTCGGTGGCGGTGGTCTTCCCCCGCTCTAAGGCAAAATCCGGATCCGACATATTGTCGCCTAGCGGAGTTATCCACAAGTAGGTATTTCCCACCTATGGGGCACCGCCCCAGCTGGAACAAGCTCTTAAGTTCCCGACCGGTCTCCCGCCATGTATGGTAGAGTCGTGCATGCAGCCGGCCACAAGAGGGTGGTGGGAAGATCGTGCTGGTCGCAAAAAAAGTGGAGTGTAGTTGCGCCTGCAGTCTAACGAAGTTGGTAATCATCACGATGAACCATAAGTAATTTTCGTTAGTACAAATTTAATGCAATCCGTAATTCAAGTTAAGTTTCGACAGATATGGTGATCGATAGCACCAGTTACAAGTGTAGCTTGAAACAGTTTGTTGTTTCAAAGCCTTCTTTCTGATTCACTTCATCGCCGGAAGCAGCTGTGGGCGCCTCCAAAAATTCTGAACCGACCTCTGAAAGCAAGTTCTAAGGATCTAGGATGCCGTTTGCGAATTAAGCACATTAAAACGCGCGGCAGCATTTTTTAATAAAACAACGCTTTTAACGAAATTTGATGAAACAATAACAGAAACGTGTTTATAAACCTTCCGTATGCCTACTCATTAACTTTAAATGCGCAGAGAAAAGAATGTTGACAACACAAATAATATTCGTTTCGTCGATTATTTTAAGACTCATTCGTGACAAACTAAATTGGAGATGTGGTGGGTGAATATCTTACAAAAATGATTCGCGTTCATCTCATGAACACTGACTGAGATGGCTCAGCCCAACAAGTGGCTCTGAAGCGTCTGTGAGAGCAGCTCCTAGTGTTTCAACCTAACGCTGGAGTATTTTCGACACTAACTTTGTAGCTAGGTTGAATTCAATCGCTAACTGGAGGAGATTTGAAGCATCGGTGATTTACCCAAGCACCCTAACCATAACCAGACAAGAATCTTAACACACGTGTCACGGACCGAGCCCGATCTTTCCTTCCTCGTCTTTGTTCCCTCCCCTCTCCTTAGACCTGTGTCACACGAGCGTTATGTTGACGCACATTTGACGCGCGATAAGTAACGCGTGACGTAGATTAACATTGTGTTTTATCCGGAACTGCCAAAGCACACGTGTGTCATTTCGCTGAAGATACAGTGTTATTCTACGTTCACGCGCGTTACATATCGCGTATGAACGCAACGCTCGTGTACAGGGGCCCTTGCTTACACACACTTACCCTTTCATGCCTTACACAACCACACGTATCGGGGGGCCTGTCGAGAGATTAGAGCTTATCCCGGCTGGGGCGATACCACGCTGAAGAATGTACTAAAAGGGGGAAAACTTCGCAACCCAAGGTGTAGGATCTCACGTTCCGTCATGGAAGCAACACCGTGTCTCCTGCCCTATTAAATGCACTGCACTCGTGGGACTCATGACCCACGTTGTTGACGCACATGAAATATTCACTCATTTCAGGAGCGTTGCTTTACTAGTGTCGGCGCTGTAATACTCCCTATTAATTTTGTCATACAACCAATTGAAGTATGTTCCCAAGTAAACAATCGATTTGTTTCTAGAATTTTAAACGTACTTCAAACATCTATTCAAAACAGTATTTTTACGTGGATTATTTTTACATTAATAATTGGTACATTGCGAGTTGAGTTGAAAGCGAAATGAATTGTGAAGAGATCGGTGCTCTATGATACTCGATGATTGTCGGCTGTTCGGTTACTTTCGTCGCAATGGCTAAATGTTAATATTTTTATCAAATCATTCAACTTAATGGTTTCGCATACTTTTGGTGATAATGTATGTAAATTCTTACAACATTCTTATCAGTGAAGGTACTTGATCACATGAAATTGCTTGTGATAACTATCCCTTGCTTTCAAGGGCATTTGCTGAACGGAAGTTTCCGATGCATTATAGCTGGCCCTTTATTCTTCTGGTTAACAGACGAGTACATTTCGCGGATCGATGTAGTTTTCGGAGATGCTCGAGTCATTCTAAACAGAGAGGATCTCGAGTGATCTAAACTGGCTGAGGCGGGTCAGAAAATCAACTGATGTCACTGCAGGGCCTCAGACTGGGGGTCCTAGGATTCAAGTCCCGTCGGTGGCAGGATTTTCGACACTAGCTAGAGAGCGATGTCTAATTCAACCGCTCTGTGAAGGAGAATTCTAGCGGTCGGCTGCTCTGATCGGTAGTGTTCTATGGTTTCCACCTATCAATACCAGGCGAATGCCAAAGAAGTATCCTAACGAACGGGCTACTGTCCGCGCGCGATCTCTCCTTCCTCTTCATTGTCCTACCCTAATCCCTTCGGGTGCACACTACCGCACAGGACGGGAGTTTAGGGCATGGGGCGGTGTCCTGGTGGAAGGGGACACCTGAATGGGAAACCCCCGCAAAAAGTACTTGAAGGTCGACGCCGTATTTCACCTTCCTGCGGGGAGAGAACACCGCCACCTTCGTGATAAAACGTGCAGTACACTTACGGGACTAACCACCATAGCCGCGAAATTAACACTCAATAGATCGATCTAACAGTGCCATTTCCACCCAATTCATTGGCGTGTGTTTGTGTACGGGGGCCCTAGCTGCGCGATGACCTTTGCAGGTAGCGCTGTGGGGGCGCGTCTGCGACCAAAAGAATGGCATTTGACGCGCGAGGGGCGCAGGTTCGCGAGTGCCCTGTGGTGGAGAGGGGGCGTGGCGCGACTTGGCGCGGCAGGCGCTCGCCTAACGCATGGGGGTGTATACCAATTTACATATTATAAACCCTTTAAAGGGAAATGCACTCGATGCTGGAAATGCACTCCGCTTATTCTTCAGCAAAATCTCTGCGGAAAAGGTGGGGGTAAATACTTTAAAATTTCTATTTTAAATATGTACTTAAAATACATTAGGTTTTGATTTCCTAAATACAGATTTAAAATACTTGAAATATTCAAATTACAGAAAATACAATAGTGTTATAACTTTTTATTGCATCAATATACTCAAATTGTCAATTACAATAAATTATTAATTGACAGTCGTACACATTATTTAATAATAACTAACCATAATATATTTGTATACAATGTATATGTATGTACATGCAAAAATAAGGCCCACGAATTTTATTTTTATTAAAGTATTGAATAATTTTTAATACTTCTATTTCATGTACTTAAATACATCTCAAAAATACATGTCCAAAAAACTCAAATACAGTTTTTCAAATACAAAATGTATTCAAATTACATATATCAAATACAAGTATTTAAATACTGCCCAACCATGCTGGTGAATTAAAGCGGTTCACGCAAATTGCCATGCATGACGCCCATTCCCATTCTATCTCGCCCTCTATAAATCACTAAGTCGAACCTGTGGACCTATGACCAACAACAAGTGA